CCCCTACCCCCCCCCCCTCAGTGTTCATTCATCCCCCCCCCTGGGTCCCCTTTGCTTGTGGTCAGAATGGACCCCACCTATCCGTCCAGAATCTGGGCCATTTCGTTCTCCACCTCCTCCGCTGTCATCATCTCCGGTCGCCAGCGAAATGCATCTCCATCTCCATCTTCATTTCCATCTCCATCTCCATCTCAATGTCCATTTCCATCACCATCTTCTTTTCCATTTCCATTTCCATCCCCATCTCCATTTGCATTTCCATCTTCATTTCCATCTCCATCTCCATCTCCATCTCCATCTCCATCACCATCTCCATATCCTCTTGAGAATGTGAGACGAAACGATCCGAAGAGTGTCAACCATAGCCCGCAATTGATGGGCCCCCTCCTTCTTCTGAGACCCCCCTCCACCCACCCCAAGGCCCTGCCCACCCCCCCTCTGTCTTCATCCTCCTTGCCTTCGTTCGGCAGAACAGAAATTTTGGGTTAACCTCCCTCTCACACCCACCATGTGATCAGAATGGACAACAGCTTTCCATTTTGGGCCATCATGGCCCCCCTTCTTCTCTCTCCTCCCCCTCCCCTCCCCGCCTTCATCCTCCCCTCATTTGCTGTATCGCTGGGCGAATGCACTTCGCCACAGCCACCATCACTTGATGATTGTCTCTTCTCCTCTTGAGATTCCATTCGACGACCAAAGTGGGGACCACCTTCTCAATTCCGCCCATTCGTACTCTACTCTACTCTTTTTCATATATACCCTCCCCCTCCGTCATCTCCTGTTGCCGGATGAATACACTTAGTCATAGCCGCCATAGCCGCCGCCATAGCCTCCATAGCCGCCGCCATAGCCGCCATAGCCGCCGCCATAGTCGCCATAGCCGCCATAGCCGCCGCTTGCACTTTGACAGTCTCTTCTTTTGGCTCCCTTTAGTCCTCCTCTTCAGATTGCATTCGGTCAAAATGGACACCACCTCTCCATTCTGGGCCATCTCATACTCTACTCCTTTTCATCTACCCTCCCCCTCCGTCATCTCTTGTTGCCAGAGGAATGTAACTTCGCCATAGCCGCCGCGTGAGCTTCTTCTTCTTCTTCGGGCTCTTTTTCGTTCTCCTCTTCAGATCCCATTTGGCCAAAATGGACACCATCTTCTCAATTCAGGCCCCATTTCGTACTCTCTGTCTCTTGTCTCTACTCTACTCTTTTCCTTCATGTACCAGCCGAAGGAATGCACTTCATCTCTTGTTGCCAGAGGACTGCGCTTAGCCATCGCCGCCGCTTGAGCGTCTCTTCTTCTTCGGGCTCCTTTCCGTCCTCCTCTTCAGATTCCACCATCTTCTCAAATCAGGAGCCCCCCATTTCCATTTCGTACTCTCTGTCTCTACTCTACTCTTTTTCATATTTACCCTCCTCCCCATCCTCCCCCTCCTCCATCTCTTGTTGCCGGAGGAATGCGCTTAGCCATAGCCGCCGCTTGAGCGTCTCTTCTTCTGGCTCCTTTTCGTCTTCCTCTTGCTTCCATTTGGTCACAATGGACACCACCTTCCCACTCTGGACCATCTCGTACTTCATGTACCCGTGTACGCTCACGCCTTTCCTGTCGTACGGCTTGGGGATATCCTCTTTCGCAAACCGACTGCCAAATGGCCTCGATGTCCTCACAAGCTCCGTCTCATCTGCAGTGTTTTGCACATATGCCCCTAGACTTGGACGTGCGCAGTCCCACCACTCTCCCACCCCCCACTTGCGCAGATCACCCTCCACATCGTCCGTTAATCGGATGGTCCAGAACGCGTACGCCCATCGCTTCCATCGCTCGTCGGCAAGGCTCTCGTAGTAAATGTCCTCCAGCTCTAAAGTTGCACCACCTACCTCTCCCAACCCCTTCCAATATCTCTCGAATCTGTCCGCCGAGAAGAAGCACACCAGGGGGCTCTCGTACCTGACCCCCGGACTCAAAAAGCCCTTCGCAAAAAAGTCCTTGTCGGGATCGGGACCGTCTTCAGGAACGTGCAGCGGGCCGGGAAGATAGAACCTCAGAGTGTAGGTCAGGTCTTCTATCTTCTTGCGCATGTCCACGTCAGCCTCGGGGATATAGGGAGGTGGCGTCGTGTTTATCACTCTCTGTTGATCTTCGGTCACGTTGACGTCAGCCATGTAGGGAAACGTAGGCATGCCTTCATATCTTTCGTTCGGATCCTCACTGTTGTAGAAGATCGGCATCGCTTTTCGATCATCCTCCTCTTCATCCTCCTCCTCTTCCTCATCCTCTTCATCATCATCATCATCGTTAGCAGTAGCAGTAGGAGCAGTATCAGGATGACCGCCATAGCCACGGCTCTCAGAGCTCCCCTTCGTCTTCTTCCTGCCTTCCTTCATCACGCTGACCAACTCTTCGTCTTCGTGTACATCTCCATAGATGTGCTTGTTCTCCTCCATCCATTCCCTGAACTCGTCACTCATTTGGGCAAACTGCTCACCTGACACATGTCCATCTCCTTCTTCTTCTTCTTCTTCTTTGTCCATCTTGGGGTCTTTCTCACATTGCACCTCTACCTCCACAGGTACTTCTCTCTCTGGTGTCATCAGTGCATGAACCCTCTCTCCCTCCCTCTCCATCTGTCTCTCTTCCTCCTGCACCCCTCTCTCTTTCTTCTGCTTCATGTCTCCCTCCTCCAGATTCTTCCTCTCTCTCTCCTCCTCCTTCTGCTGCTCTCTCTCTCTCTTCTTCTCCGCCCACTCCTCCTCAAACTTCTTCCATAACTCTCTCTCCTCCATATCCTGCTCCTCGTCGATCCCTACTTCAGGAAGCCATTCGTCATTTGCGACCAAGTCCATGATGTGTTTCCCCTCCACCTTCCACGACATCGCGTCGTACATCTCTGCGTCTGCCGAATCACCAATCTCGTCGTCTACATTCAGCCACTCCAAGTCGGAAAAATCATCCTTCTTCTTCTCCTTCTTCTCCTTCTTCTCCTTCTTCTGCTTCTTCTGCTTCTTCTCGTTCGTCATCCCATCCCCTGTCCTCACAGACACAGCAGTCTCTTCCTCACCATCGCCATAGCCATCGTTCTCCCTCCCTTCTTCCTGGTCGTACACAGCTTCTTCTCCTCCTCCTGGAACGAGAGAGTCTCCTCCCCAATCTTCTTCCACAGACATGGCAGAGTCTTGATTACCATCACCATAGCCATCGCCATAGCCATAACCATAGCCATCGTCCTCTCTCCTTTCTTCCTGGCCATACACAGCTTCTTCTTCTCCTCCGCGAACGAGAGAATCCCCTCCACCTCCCCAATCTTCTTCCCTCAACACCGCACGTGGATGCGCGGTGATCCGACGTCTGGCAGCTGGAGACACTGTGAGAGACCATAGCAACGAGTTGATGCCTCGACAGAGTCGCGATTGCGACTGGACACGATCCCATCCACCGTGATTAGTCCACCAATCTTGTCGTATCTGTGTTTGTGAGGACGTGCTCGTCTCCATGCCCACGTGTTCTGGAATGCAGACGCCAGTTCGATTCCAGATGGAACCAGACGAACGAAACTCCTGAATTAGTAAGGGCTGCTGACGTGGCTGCACCGACGTGATTGTTTCCATCGATGAGGACAACCACGGAAAACGTTTCTGGCGATTTATCGCCCCCTCTCTGTGGGATCTCCACGCGCAGGAAAAACACCTGCCACGTGCGAGATCCATATCCCCGCGCTGACGTGGCCATAACTGTCGGGATCGCGGCGACGCTGCTGCAGGTCTGACGATCCCAGCTGCTGCATCTCTGCCGCCGATGCAGCTGCTGAAACTAGATGTTGACGACATCATCGACTACGACTACTGGTACTACTAGTACTAGTAGTAGCAGTAGTATCCCTGAGGTCACCTTGTTTGTTCACCGAATCTTCCGCTGAAGATTCCCACGGAAAAGGTTCTCATCTCCAGATGACATGACTAAGTAACAACACGACAAACCAGCGGCCAAACGCTGCAGCTTTTTTTTTCCCCCCTTTTTTTCTTTTGATATTATTATAATCTCGATTCAAATTTAAAACGCTGCAGCTTTTCGCACGTGCATCTCACGCTTTTTTCCCGCTCAAAACAAATCCGCATGTACAAGTCTCCGGGTCATACACACAGCTTCGTCTTCTCCTCCTCCTCCTCCCCCTGCACAATCAATCAGCTACAAAATAGGTATTTAACCCTGCTGTCGAGGCTCCAGGTCCAGTTTCTGTCTGATTCACCATCTTGATCCCTGCCTGTTTGTCAAATTCATCCCTCCTTCTCG